TTATTTTTTTTAGAAACAACGAACAACATTAAAATCTCGGTCTCTATATTTATAAAATCTCAATTCAAAATATAACAAAAGTTTTAGAATCTCGGTCTTTATATTTGTGCCCTTAAAAAAAATATTGAACGCTAAAAATATTCTTTAAATTGCATAATCAATCAATCAATCAATCTTAATTTTTTGAAAATTATTATGTCTACTTTTTTATTAATATGCATAAATAAAATAAATTAATTCATCTTTAGATACATAATTTATAGTCTTAATATACTATCATTTAATGTAGACATTTATTATATGAATCATAAAATATTTTCATTTCATAAAATTAAATATATTTAAAGAAAATAAGAAAATTTCTTCGGATCAATTGGGTGATTAAATTAGGGTACTGCCCAGGTTGATTGAATTATTTTTAGGTGATATTTAAAATAATAAAAAAACTTGACACAACTTGGTTGGTCCCAGGTGAATAAGTTATGTACCAGTTCGACCACACCAAATCGATTCTTGAACCTAAATATAAATTTTATATTGAAAATATTTTATTACGTGAAGGTGATGTAGTCCAAACTTCAAATAATCGTATTAACAATACTTTTATGACAACATGTTTAATGATTTATGAATATTTGTATATCATTTTATCAAATATTTATGCGAATTAAATAATATTTTATTATAATATTTATTAATGTACAGTAAATATAAGGTTTTCAGAACTGGACCGTCATTGAAACGATCAAGCTATTTTATTAAATCATTTGTGGTTTGTTCAGATTTTAATTTATAAGCATTTTAATATATATATATATATATATTACTTTTTGTAATAAATTTAAATAAAATGTGTTTCTTAGATATCTAAACAATTTATAAATTCAAATGCTTAAAATAATTAATAAATAATTTATTATTCTTTATTTATTTAATATAATTTGTAAATATAACAAAATTTATTTAGAAAATTGTATTGATCCAACCAGTCCAACCGACTGGTGTTGACGGATTTGAGAGCAAATATTTTATTCAAACAAACTAGACTGGTTATAAACCGGTTGTCAGTCCATCCGGTCGGACTGTGTCCAACCCGATTTAATTTAAAAATAATGGATAAATCATGATTAATGTTACTCATATATTTAATTTATAATACAATCGTAATATTGTTTTCCCGTGCATCGCACGGGTCATGCACTAGTTTTGAAAAGATAAAGAGTGAATATGAAAAGATGTAGTATATTTATTAGCTAGATGAGAGTAAATGGAAAAATATGTACAAAAGATCCAAAACCTTATTTATTTAGTTAATTGTTGATAAAGTCAAAATGACATTTAATAAAAAAAGGAGATAGTATATGTTAAGAGGGGGCGGATCAAATGCGGCCAGCTCTTAGCAACTACAGACAACTAATCAAACAACTACAGAGAACTAACCAAGCAACTACAGAGAACTAACTTAGCTACTACTAACCTAGCAACTACAGAGAACTAACCTAGCAACTACTAACTTAGCAATTATAGAGAACTAACTTAGCAACTACAGAGAACTAACCTAGCAACTACAGAGAACTAATTTAGCAACTACTAACTTAGCAATTATAGAGAACTAACTTAGCAACTACAAAAAACTAACCTAGCAACTACAAAGAACTAACTTAACAACTACAGAGAACTAACCTAGCAACTACAGAGAATTAACCTAGCAATAAGGATGGCAAAAAGACCTGGACCAGGCCCGACCTGGCCCGACCCGGAGCGTTTGGGGCATGAAAAATCTGCCCCGTTTCTCAAATGGGTCGGGCCAGGTCGGACCCGTAAGATAAACGGGTCAGGTCTGGGTCCTATATTGCGCCCCGCCCCGCCCCGCCCTGGCCTGCCCCGCCCCGCCCCGCAAGTTATTACTTTTTATATATATAAATTATATACGATATATAAAGTAAATTAGGTTTAGCTTTGGACTTTTCTCTTTCTGTTCTCGACTCTTCACGCCTCTTCCTCTTTCGACTGCGCGCCTCTCTTCTCAGTTCTCAGTCTCACCCTTTGTCTCTCTCTGTTCTCTTCTCTCCGGCCGTCCGGCGTCTCTGCTCTCCCGACACACTCTCTTCTCCACGAGGCCGCGTTTGACACCTCGTTTCGCGGCACTCGCCTCATCTCCGAAGTCCAACACAAAAGCTTCGGCTGCTCCACGTCTCGCCTCTACGACTCGATGCCCCACTAATGCTAATAATTAATAAGTGTTGGGTACTGCAAGGTTTGAATAATTGAATTGTTGATTGTATTTGGATTAGTAATTATATTTGAGTTGTTGTTATATTTATGTTAAGAAAAAATGGGATGCAAAAATAAAATCGATTTGTTGTTAGAAGGTATGCAATCGAATACCGCAAATAAATTTGGGGGCTGCTTTTTATTTATTTTTTATTTATTTTTACTCAAGTTGCTGTAAGATGTTAAGAAAAACTGGGACGGGGTACAGGTCGGGGTTGGCCGACCCGTCCCGAATCGGGTCAGGGCATGGGCCCGACCTGTTGGACCCGTCACGGGTCGCGGGGCAGGTCGGGTCCACAGGGCAGGAACGCGGACCAGGTCCGGGTCTGCTGGTACCCGGCCCGACCTGGCCCATTGCCATCCCTACCTAGCAACTACTAACCTAGCAACTACAGAGAACTAACCTAACAACTACAGACAACTAACCTAGCAACCACAAAAAACTAACCTAGCAACCACAAAGAACTAACCTAGCAACTACATAGAACTAACCTATTAACTACAGAGAACTAACCTAATTGGAATGTTAGTTGTCAAATGTCAACGCCGGAAGTCAACGGTCAACGCCGGAATCAACGGGTCAAAATAATATTTAAATAATTAAAATAATAAAAAAGAAAGAGTAAATCTTGGCCACACACGATGTACCAAATCTTGTGGCTAAAAATGAGTCTCACGTCCTTACTTTACATAAGTGGATGCATTGGAACCAATCCCTATGTTAATAAAACCTCTAAAAATAGCTAGATTGACCTTGGTCAATGTCCAATTAAAACGCTTTAAATTGTGGATATACCTACAAGGTAAAGTTGGACTCTTTATTTAAGTGACCGAGTCAGATGAATGAAGGAATGAATTGGATAAATGACTTATTTTATGTTATTTGTGTTATTAACCTTTTTTTTTTTTTTTCATAAAAACAACATAAGCCATTTTTCAATTTCATCCTCTTCATCTCTCTTCCCGTGATTCAAGTTTTTTCTCCTCCAAAAGAAGAAAACAAAATCTCTGATCATTACACATGAACTTTTTATTTTATATTGCAAAACGAATGTGTTGATCGTTGAAGAACAACAAAATTATTATCTCCGTTATTTGAGAGAAGGTGAAAAGTCTGAAAAATTAATTGTTAGTAGGATTTTTTGTTATTTATCTTGATAAACATTTTGATTTCATATCTTTTATGATTGGTAAGCATTTGGATTTCATATTTTTTATGATATTTGTGTCATTCACCTTATTTTTTTTCTTCATTTTATCAATTGATAGTTGCATCTGATTTTACGTAACGAATGTACAGTCGTTATGACATTTCATAACGAATGTAGATACGTTATGAACATTTTGAACCACGAAGGTAGATTCGTTATCTGATGATTAGTTCAAAATGTTAACAATTGTGATTTAAAAAATCACATATCCCCAACATTTTAGAAATAAACATAATAAATATACCTGTTTCGTTTTAGAAATATACATAATAAAGAAATCAACCAAACACTAATAAGTTTGTAAGATTACTCGAGCGACAATATCTTCCTTTCGTCACATAACAATTACCGTTTTTAGAAAAATTATCGGTTTTCATATTATAGCTTTGAAATCCTTATAACGGAACTTATTTTAGACAATAACAATACTTATTCCATTTTAGAAATAGGCATAATAAACAAATCGATTGAACACTACTAAGTATGTAAGATTAGCCGAGCGATAATATTTTCCTTTCGTCACATAATAATTACCGTTTTAGAAAAATGACCGGTTTTCATATTATAGCTTTGAAATACTTATAACATTTTAGACAATAACAATACTTATTCCATTTTAGAAATAGGCATAATAAACAAATCGATTGAACACTACTAAGTATGTAAGATTAGCCGAGCGATAATATTTTCCTTTCGTCACATAATAATTACCGTTTTAGAAAAATGACCGGTTTTCATATTATAGCTTTGAAATACTTATAACCGAACTTATTTTACACAATAACGATATTTGTTTCATTTTAAAAATAGACATAATGAAAAAATCGGTCTAACAAGTATATTATCATTCTAATGTATTATATAATGAAATTAGTATCTTTATAGTGGCATTTCATCTAAAGGGCTGAAAATATAACTATAACGAGTGTACTATCGTTCTAATGTATTATATAAAGGAGGCATAATCGTTAAAGTAATATTTCATAAACAGGGCTAAAAATACAACAATAACAACTGTATTATCATTTTTATGTATTATATAATGAAGGTGGTGTCCTCATAGTAGTATTTTATATAAAGGACCGAAATTATAACCATAATGAGTGTATTATCGTTCTAATGTATTATCGAATCATTATAGTAGTATTTCATCAACAAGGATAAAAATATAACTATAACGAGAGTACCTTCGTTATATAGTATTATATAACGAATGTACCCTCGTTATGACTGTCGCGTGAGGCTCGTGCCTGCGAGGGTCCCTCGCGAGCTTACGGAGACCAGTTTTCCAGTGGCCGCGCCTGCAACAGTAATGACGAGAGTAACTTTGTTATACATTACATTAGAACGAAGGTACTTTCGTTATAGTTATATTTTTAGCCCTGTTGATGCAATGCTATTATAATGATATCTTCGTTATTAATGTTTACATAACGAAGGTGGAATTGTTATAGTACCCTCGACTGTAGTTGACTATAGAGAGAGGCGTACAAATGTCATTTTTAGCCCGAAATATCATTAATAAAACACATATTTACAGACAACTAACTAGTCTACTGGAACTGAATATAGGCAACCACTGTAGCTTAGAAACTACTATAAAAAGCCACACCCACAAGACTAAAAAACTAGAAAACTAGAAATGAAACTCCCACCATGGGAGAATACTACAACCTAGAAAGAGAAAAAGGAAGAATAAAACACCTAACACTAATACAAACACTAAGGAGATTGTATTCAATTGAGATTTTTAAGGACTTTTTAAAACTTTTTAAATTTGGTGACTTTTGTAGACTTTTTAAAACTTTCATGACTTTGGTGTACTTGTTGAGATTTTCAGAGAATTCTCATTAGTGACTTTTTAAGACTTTCATAATGAACTTTTTAAAACTTATTGAGACTTTTGTATACTTGTAGTTATAATATTATGTTTGGAAATGAAACATTAATAAACGTACATAATAACTAATATCAAGAAAAAATAAATGAAATAAATATATTTTATATATTAATCCTCTAAAAATTTATGAATCAACTCATTGTTATACGAAATGAGTTACTCACTAACAAATTGTTTAGGATTTGTAGATTTATTAAACGAGCAAATCAATCCGAGCTTCAACGACTCAAAAGATACAAACATTGTCGAAAAACAGTAATTGTATTTTATAAAGTAATAAATAATTTTCAAAATAATTCAATATCAACAAATAAACTATTAGAAAATAAAATAATTTTATTAATATTAAAAAATAAACATTAACAAATAAAAAGATAGAACAAATAAATTATTTGCAAGTGCAAACTATGGAAGCATTTAACCTTTAGAAAATCAAATTCACAAGATAACAAAACGAAAGAATAAAGGTATAAATACATAAAATAACCATAATAAAAAATATATAAAATAAAGATCACGTTAAATATAAGTAATGAAAATAAAAATTATACAAGGTATAAAGTGATATGAGATATAAAGTCGTGTTAGAAAGAAAAAAAGAAAGGGAGCGTGAAGAGAATCACATAAGTCCAGTAAAATCTCACCAATATTGATGAGATTTCTGTTGGGACTCTCTCTTTGTAATTTTGAGAGAAAAGTCTCTAAAAGTCTCACAATTTAAAAAGTCTCACAAAGTCTTCATATTTTGAATACAGGGTGACTTATAGAGACTCTCAAAAAGTTTTAATTGAATACCCTGAGACTTTTAATGACTTTTTAAAAGTCTTTAAAAGTCTCAATTGAATACATGTAAACTTTTCAGAAGTTTCTAATGGCATGATTGGTATGATGGAATGAAATTTCGTAGGAATGGAATGAATTGAAGAATGGAATGATTATGGGAATGGAATGAAACATGTTTTGTCATTCATGCGTTTGGTATGTAGAAGGAATAGAACTAGAATGGAATGACATTATCATTTTTTATTATAAAAATAAATAAAAGTTTTTTGTAAAAAATAGTATACTTTTAATAAATTATATATAAATGTTTTTTAATAATATATAAAAATAAAATAATATATTTTGAATAATATATAAAAATAGAATAATATATTGTTTAATAATATAAAAATAATATATTTTTAATAATATATAAAAATAAATAATATATTTTTAAATTTTATATAAAAAATAAAATATTCTTAAAAGTAATATATTTTTGATATAAAATAATATATTTTTAATAATATTTAAAAATAAAAGTAATATATATTTAATAATATATATTTTATTTTTTAATTAAACAGTAAATAAAAGTAAGTTTTTAATTTTTTATGTGAATTTTATTTTTTAAAGTAATATATTTTTAATAATATATATTTTTAATATTTTTCAATAATATATTTTTAATAATATATTTTTAAAAGTAATATATTTTTAATATATAAAAAATAATATATTTTTAATAATATATAAAAATAAAATAATATATTTTTAAATTATATATAAAAAATAATATATTCTTAAAAGTAATATATTTTTAATATATAAAAAATAATATATTTTTAATAATATATAAAAATAAAATAATATATTTTTAAATTATATATAAATACTTTTTTTAGTTTTATTTTTATATAAGTATTTAATATATCTAATTAAAAAATAAATAAAAGTAAGTTTTCAATTTTTTTATTTGAATTTTTGTTTAAAATGATTTTATTTAATATATTTTAATCATGATTTATAATATATAATATTTATAATATATATTATATATTTATTTTTTATTATTATTTGTTAATTTTATTTTTTGAAAAATTGATTCCTACACATATGGGAATGAGAAAACCCTCCATTTACTATGGAATGACTAATCCAATGGAGATGGGTTTTGCCATTCCCATTGGAATGGTCATTCCTTTGCAAAAAATATACCAATCATGGAATAAGGAATGAGTAAATGAATGATCATTCCATTCCTATGTCATTGCATCATATCAATCATGCCATAAAAGTTCTATTTAAATACACCATGATTCTGAAAATCTTAAAAAGTCTCTAAAAGTTGAAATTGAATACACCCGTAAGTCACGACCAAAGTAACAGATCCAGAAACTGCAGTTCTACGCAGATCTGAAACAAACGAATTTTACCCTCGCCAAGGTGGACGACCCCCAAACCGGCAACCGTAGGTCCTCAACACCCTCCACCCCCAATACCACCGACGACCCTGGCCAGAACACAAAACTTAAACTACGACCCAACCCCTCCGGCCATCCCCTCAGCCCAACGCTAGGGAAGAAAAGGACACGGGGGGAAAAGAGATCTCCGACCTTCGCCCCGACCACTGCAAAAAAAGGTAATCGAAGTCGCAGCTCTCACCCAGAGAAACGCCGTAAACCCACCACCGCAAAGACGTCGGGGAGTCGTCGGACCCCCGCCTTACCACGGTGACCAGACTGAGTGCAGAACCTACTCGGGGGACGACACGCCACCTCCACCAGCGAAAAAGAAGCAGTCTCGGGCGATGATTCTCTGAGAGCAGAGCCGCAAGCCCGTTGATGGCTATTGGGCCGAAATACTAATAAAAAGTTGGTATAAAAACGCTTTTTATTTTAAAATTAAAGGGCTGACAGACGGTGAAAATGGTACAATATTAGGTGCGAACACCTTTACAATCGCACTTCGCACACGAAGGCTAAGCATAGAGGAAAAAGAAGAGCAAAAAAAATGGCTAAAACTACTGTGTCTTCCAAACAGCTCGGGTAACTCTATACCTAATTTCCTATATCATTTATCAGCTTTCGATTTCATGACTGCATTATTTTTACGGCTCCATTTTTACTACAGATCTCACCTGCAAATCCCGAGTTTTGATGTTGGGGGCAAAAGCTGCTAGAACCCTAGAACCGTTTTCAATTGGGGTTTCTCAATTTCTCCAAGTCCAGAAGCTGCAGGTCGTTTAATAAATTACATTTGTGTGCACTTAAATACGGTTGTGACAGTGATTGTAACATCCGTCCTATGTTTCGCATCTAATTATCTAATTTTGGACTTCAGCCGGTTCCGTGTTGAGCTTTCGATTAAGTTCCAGTCATCAGGCATCATTTGGATAGTATCATCATATTCTACCATGGATATAAGCAGTAACGAGGAGGAAGAGATATTTTCGCATACGAAAAGGGTAAAAAAATCCCATGAAGAAAACCACGATTTTTTTAGTGACTTGCCAGACTCGATTCTGGTTCACATTCTTTCCTTTCTACCGCTACGTGATGCCATCAGAACTGTTGTTCTTCCAAGATTCGGTAAACTTTGGCTTAGCTTGCCGGTTCTTGATTTGGACCACTGCACGTACCATGAGTATGATGAAGATGCGGATGAGGAAATTTGTGACTATGAAAACTTCATGCATGTAGTTCATAAGGTTTGGAATCATCAGGATGAGAATACGCTGGATAAATTGCACCTCAGGTTTGCCCTTCTGCTGTCTTATTCACATTACACTGAGTGTGATCTTAATAATCCCAACGTTAGTGATTATGAAAGACGGAAGGTGGAAAAAGAGAGGGCCGCCTTATATCAAGTGGGGAAATTAATCAGTTATGCCGTGAGCAGAAAAGTCAAGGTTTTGGATATCGATCTTAAGGGCTGTGAGTTTATTGAACAATATTATGAGTTACCGGATGTTTTAAGTACTGGATACTTGACAAATTTGCAGTTGGCCGCTTGTGACATTAGATCTTGCGAGCAAATAAATCTGTCGGCACTGAGAGTCTTGTTTCTACATAGGGTTTTATTGAGTGATGAAGCCATAGAAAGAATCTTGAATGGTTGCCCGTTTCTTGAGGATCTGTCTGTGGTTGATTGTCATGGCTTTCGCCAGTTGAATTCCAAGAACCCAAACTTGAAAAAGCTGATGCTTTGTGTGGCCGTGAATAGCTGGATTGTGTTCGTCGAGTGTCCTCACGTAGTGTCAATAGAAATATCTGGATGGATCGATGGTGTGTTTTTGCATCATGTCTCATCTTTGGTCGAAGCTTCCGTCCACTATAGCTACTTGTTTAAATGCAAGGACAAGGATTATTCTCTAGTGCGGGTCCTACTGTACATGGTTAGATGGTGCAGGACTTTCAGCATATGCACTTGGAGTATTTTGGTATCCTTTGTGCCTTTACGTGTTTCGAGTTATTTGAACATCTGACTTCTTTGTTGCATGAGAGATGAAATCAAAGGCTTTTGGATTTATTTATTTATTCTTTGTGAAGAACGAATTGTTGAAAGAGTACTTTCAAGATGTTAAATTTGGAGTGTTAATCTGATTATGAGTATGACAGTGAATTCTGATGCATAAACAACTAAAAACAGTTCATATGCTGATTTCTTTAAATGGGGAAACTATTTCTATGTGGTGGCAGCAAGAACACAAAAGGTGATAAGTTAATGAAAAGAGAATAAGAAACTTTTGTGACAATTCATGTTGGCCATGTATCCTAACTAATGCAGATCTTGTAAATTTCATAGAGATAACATATGCTACATGCTGGGACTGCATGAAAATAATTGGCTTTTATACGCTTATGAGCAGATGATGTCAATATGCAAGTTGAAGAATTTCTTTTGCCCACAGTTCCAGTGGAAGCATATCAAAGTTGAACTTGATCTCTCAAAATGGCACCTTCCTGGGCTTTTTCTCCTCCTGAGACGTTCTACTTCTCTCGTGGAACTTACCATGCATACTACCTCTTGTCTATATGACTCATACTTTCAGGTACAAATTTCTCATATTTTGAATAACTAGTAAAGTGCATGTGCGATGCACGTGGTGGTGAATGTTTTTTGATAATTAAGTTTAGTAAAACAAATTAATTAAATTATTAAAAATATCGTTGAAAGAATGAAATAAAACGTAGAACAAACGAGCTCATAATGTAATTGTTTTTTGCCGATTAAGTTTTGTAAAATAAATAAATTAATTTATTAAATATATTGTTACAAGAATGAAACAAAATGTAGAACAAATATTTTTTTTAAAATAACTCAACGATGTCCTAATATAAATAGAATTAAATAACATATTACAACCCCAACAAAAACACTAATTAACTAAATAATGACTAATATGTATTATACATGCATTAGTTCTTTTATTTGTTTATGGTAGATGATTCAATAGCAACCTTTTTCATTTTGGTTTTGACGCCCCATAAGAAGCATTGCTGATTCAAGAGTATTGCAAAATTCATCTTAGGCAAAACTTCTATTTTATTCAAACACTTAAGAATATTCTAGCCCCAAACATATAGTGAAACTTCATGGTTGTATTATCTTTATATTTCTACTAACCATGCATGAATATCTCTGCAATATAACTAATCGTGTCATTAAAATTGTTGATTATTTTTTATCATTATATAAACTACTACTAGTACGAATCCCGTGCGATGCACGAGTAAGAGATATTAATTAATATTTATAAATAAAAATTCTCATTAAATAATATTTATAAGTTAGAAACATGGAATCAATATGTAATACAATCTACCTATATAATTTACTGAAAATGTTATATAAAAGTTAAATTGTGCAAAATTACATAAAAATGTCTATTTAAAATTAGTACAAATCATGTGCGTTGCACATTACTGATAATAAATTACATTATATTCATTTCAAGATGTGTGCCATTTCAAAATTTTTATTCAGAAACTCGATTTGACTATAACGTGATTCCATTAAATAATTATTTTGGTAAAATTTTATCATATATTTAAAAACCTATCTTAATAATAAGTATAAATATAAAACTTATATTGTTTAATTAATTAAAATAATTTTCTTTTTGTATAAAATATCTAAATCAAAAAATTTAAGTAGTTGAGTAAAAATAATAAGTCATAAGATTTTTAATGCCAAAAAAATTGACACTCTTTACCATGTGCATTTCACACACATTATTTGAAATGTCGTTACAAAAAATGAATTAAATCGAGACCCACTCATTNATTTGCTCACTTTATACCATATATTGATTAATTTATTTCCCATAGAATTATAGAAACAACCATCAATACCAAAAATAATTCATCCACTATATACCATATGTAATTAACTCACATGATTTGAGTAATTAAGGTATCTTAAAATATGGCTTAATTACTTTCTTAAATAATGAGCTGTAATTTCCATAAATGATCATTTGAAACATAGCATAAATTGTTAAATTAATATTCCAAAATAGTAAATAATTTTTTTTTAGGGAAATAGTTACTATTTAAAATATAATCAAACCTTTTTATATATACTAGTACGAATCCCGTGCGATGCACGGGTAAGAGATATTCATTAATATTTATAAATTAAAAATACTTAGTAAATAATATTTACAAATTAAAAATGTAGAATACAATTATATGTATTAATTTATTGAAAATGTTATATAAAATTTAAATTGTACAAATTTACATAAAATATGTCTATTTACACAACCCGTACGGTGCACTTAACTACTAATAAATTAAATTATATGCATTTCAAAATAAGTGTCATTTTAAAATTGTTATTCTGAAATTCGATTTGACTACAATGTGATTCCATAAATTAATATTATGCTAAAATTTTACCATATATTTAAAAATCTATGTGAATAATAGTTGTAATTATAAAACTTATATTGTTTAATTAATTAAATAATTTTATTTTTGCATAAACTATTCAAATTTTAAAAAATTAAGTGGTTGAATAATTTATTAAGCTATAACTAATTGACTATTTCATTTACGTCTAAGTTAATATTAACCTGCAAGTTATGAATAATTATTTATTTGATTTTTCAACTTGAAACCCAAATTTTGTCTACACAATAAATTATATATATATATATATATAATATATATATTATATCGTAATTGTCTAGATTTGTTGTCGTTTACCTTATCGTTCAAATCTATCAACTAAATCTTTAGAATTAAATTATAATTTTTAAATTTTGTTAACTAATATTTCATCAAGGATCATTTTGATTTTCAAAAGGAATACATTCTATTTTAAAAGGACATACTAAGCAGATTAGCATTTCAAATATTAACGAACAAAAATCCCACAATTTACGGGGATTTAATTAATCAGAATTAATTGTTAAAAAAATCATTAATTGACTCGAATTCTTAAATTAGATAGAAAACATTCTACTCGCTGATCTGATTGCAAATTAGTTCCAAAATTGTAGGATGGTATTTTTGAATTAGATAGAAAATAGTCTACAAATTGATCCCAAATGAATTTCAAAATTGTAGTTTTAGTCTAAATATGCATACAAATTGAATGGTGTACAATTTTGATAAATAGTGGGTTCGTTTCAAGTAAAAGGCAATCACAATTTTTTATTATACCTAATTTATATTTTACTTTTTTAAGTAAAGTATTTAAAGGGTAAATTATTTTATGTTTGGAAACACTTCCAAATACATTGTGATGATTTTTCATACCAAAAATTAAATATCCCAACAAAATTTCATACCAAAAATATTTTCCCACACTATACCATAAATTACTCTATTAATTTCCTAATATAGTAAACAATATTTTTCTGGCGGGAACAATTACTATTTTAAAAATAATCAAATCATTTTATATATATATAGATATTATTCTCTCTATATATAGACAAATTGATACCTACCCCATGGACGTATCGCCTACGGAGGGGAATGAGTTTCATCTCTAAATAAAAGTTGACTTTTCAAAATCTCTATTACATGTACTTTTCCCAAGGTTATTTTTTGAAATCATCACACATAACCTAAGTACATACTCTAAAATAATTGCACATATGTTCAAACACAATACACCAATGAAATTATAAATATTCCTATAAGAAGTGTCAACTTCATTCAAACATTCAAAAATGTTTTAATCAGGCTCCAACGTTTCATTTTCAATGTCATTTATTTGGAAGATATACGAACTATATAATCTGTTGTTTGCAAATCATTGACCATCTAGTTGTTGCAATGATTTTAGAATTATTTATCTTAATATCTTTCACATTCGTTTAAGTTTGTAATATTTATGTGTCCAATAACTTTTTTAATATTTTTATCGTCCAACTTTATGCATCATACATAATCTCAGAAAACTCAAGATAAAGATCATTTCTTGATTCTTCACCAATGACAAAACCAAACAAAACAAAACAATGAGTCAACATTGAGAAGCATATTATTTGTTAAAATATTTGAGATGAGAAGAATTAGAATTCTATTTTATGACTCTTAGTCATCTTTGAACTTTATTATTACGAAATCATTATTAAAATCTACATTATGTATTATAAAGTTTTAAATTTTTAATTATTTAAAATTAAAAATTGACAATATAGGATCATTGTTTATGAGATCTAATTTTTTACAGAGTCCATATATTTAAACCCTAGCAACAAAAAAAGTATTATTTTTAAAAGACTTTGTTTCTAAATATTGGTATTCATACTTGTTTAAGAAAATTCAAACGTTTTCTTTTTTCAATTGCATTACTATTATTTTATTAGTTTTTTATTCTATTGATAAATAATACTTTATTTATTGAAAGAATTATAGCACATTTACATGTATTGCATCATTTTTTGTACGTATTTCATATAATGACGTTATCAAAATATCTAATTTATTAGGCAACAACTAATATAATCGCATAAGATAAAATAAAATTTAATATTACTTATTTATTTATTTATAATAATAATATATTTGATAAAAATATACTTTTATACTGATTATTAGATTAAAAGGTTTAGAATTTTTTTTCAATGTTTGAGAAAATATTAAGCAACTAACTCATTTTCATACTCATTGAATTTATGTGTTAGTTGAATAATAATTTAACATACAACTCTTTTATTTCTCCTTTTAATTCACATAGTTAACATTTGTGATAGTTGTATGTTCACATCCATTTTTTGTTTTTTCTTAGTATGAATTTTCGGATCTATGTAAGAAAAATATGCCACATGTTTATTTTATGTTATTTAATACTTAATAAAATTTATTTAACATGGATGTATATTTTATTTTATAAGAGACTTTTAGGTCTATTTATTATTTTAAATTAGTGTTGATAATTGATATACATCATTTGAGAGAAATGATGTGATATATTACATATAAAAGTGTAACAAATGAAAAAATATTAAGTATTTTAAAATTGAAAAATTAATGGCAGAAAGTAATTAAATTTTTAATTAAAAGAATTTAAAATTAACATAGTTATGTTAATTTTAATGTAAAAAAAATATTTTTTATGAACTTACAAGTTCAAGTTAAAATAAATGTGCATATTAAGTATGTTTGGTATTGCTCATTACTTGGCTCCAATTGATATTGGACATTAATTAATTTTATCACTTTTTTTTTACTTTTAGATTTAAGGCAAGCTATAAGTTTTCTCATCATTCTTACCACTTGTTTAGCTATTATAATACTAGTAAAATAATTATGGACTTTTTGACCTACATGTATCTTATTTGTTTTGAAATAGTTTACTAATTACCATAAATTAAATGATAATTAGATTGAATGTGTTATATTTTCTATAATTATCAACAATTATCATAATAATTAGTTGCACACAATATTATATATAATGCAAATTTTTCTTATTGATTTGGAGCCCTACCTTTACTACAAGAAAATGAGAAAATTCCAACGAAAATTTCAAAAAAAA